GAGACTAGTAACAAATTCAGACTCAGATTCAACAACACAAACAATCCATGGCATCCGCAATCACTAAGGGTTTCCCTTACATAGCCGACCACTTCAACTCTCCCGGCCATTCTATAAATGACATGAGCTGTAATTCCCCATCCCTTATATTGAAAGGCGCATATCAAAACTCAGACATGTAATATATCAAGGTATCTTTATTTCAGAAAATCAAAATCAAAATATCATCGCAGCACAAAGCTGAATTGTGATAAAATGTACAAAGAGTAAGTCAAATTATTTTTAAAAAGTCTTAAAATTACAGGACAAAAACAGATTTACACCATAGAATCCAAAAAATCACACACAAACAACTAAATGTTAAAACATCAAACAATAAAAAAAAAAACAAAAAAACACAAAACCCACATATTCGGATAAGGACTTCGATATGATCAGTTACTATAATTTCCCTTATTCTTAATTCATTAGTAATTCATAATTATTTCCTTGGGGTTTTTTCACGTCTATTTATAGACCCACTGATTTATTTTCTATTACATCTGTATTTTTTTGATAGCCTATTATTGAATAGCATATAGGCCTATTTATTCATTCATATATATTTTTGTATTTCCCTATATCATTTTAGTGTTTTTATTTCCGCCTTTCTGCCTCTTTGTTTTTGAATTTGCCTGTTAGTTAACATATTTTTTTTAATTTGCTATATAATGTTGGAGGGGGTTTAATCTGAGCGGCTCCTTTATTCGATGTCATTGTTTATTTCCTTTATTGATATTGCCGACAGGGATCTGTGTTCCCACACTGATAATAGGCTACCTAATTACAGTTCCCAATTAGTTTATTTGTTACTTAATACTATACTTACTCTGCCCCTTAGTAATTTCGTCCTATCACCATTGTCATTATAATTTATTTTAAACGTCGACCAATCATATTATATATTACATTCACACATGCTGAATAAACAGAGGACGGGTGGAAATATTTATGTTTTTAATAAATTGTGTCTTCTAAGTCTTCGTCATCTCATCGTCTTTTTCATTGAGTTGTGTATCTAAGAAATACACGGGGATAAGAGACAGATATATATATGAAGAGGACGTGAACATCACGCTATAGTCCAGATTTCTAAGACAATCTCACAAAAAAGGAGAGGCAGGCCATCGCCAATTTGCGTCAGCGTAATGATATCATCGTCAAACCAGAATGATGATAAAGGCTCTGCCATTGTCGTTATGGACATTACATTCTACATAGCTCTTCACTATTGTAAACTCACAGAGGACCACAATCCAGAAATTTCTAATATCTGGAAATATCTGTATTAAAGATGGTTAAAAAGATTCTATCGATCCCAAACTTGGACCCTATCTTATCCAGGTCGATCAGGAACCAGGACGTTTCTATGTCCTACCGGTACCTAAAATCCACAAAACAGGCCATCCTAGCAGATTTAACTTTTCGGGAAACAGTACTGCTACAGAACAAATCTCTGACATGTGAATGATCGACCATTATGTTGTTGCTCTTCCCTTATACATTCAGGATTCCACTAACTTTATCCGCAAAATTAACAAAATTTCAAATTTACCTAAATATACTGTTCTGGCTACACTTGATGTTTCGTCATTATATATACTAATATCTCTCATGAAGAAGGTGTTAATGCGTGTATTTCAAATTACAAACAAATTCGGGGCAAAACCCCATCTAAATCTCATCTACATGAACTTCCTGATTCTGACCAATAATTTGTTTTTGGCGACGATCATTATCTCTAAATTCATGGCACAGCGATGGGCACAAAATGGCTTCAACTTTGGCAAATTTATTTATAGGACAATATGAGGCCAACTATCTGTCCCTACAGCCCAAGAAACCACATGTTTGTTTTCATTACATTGATGATATCTAAATGATCTGGTGAATAGTTTGGATACGTTCCTATTGAAAATTATATCAGCTACAATCAAATTCACTAACAAATCCACAAGCAGTGTAGACTTTTTGGACATCAGCGTGACCATGGAATGGTGCACTTAAATTTGATGTCTTCCGTAAACCCACGGATAAAAACATGTACCTGCTCCCTACTAGCTGTCATCGTACCAAAACGTACCAAAAATATTGCGTACAGCCAAGCATTGCGCTTGAAACACAATTTTGTTCTTCGGATTTAGATTTTCAGAATCGCACAAAAGAATTATGCGGACATCTCCGGAGGTCATCGAGGACCCATCGAAAATGCTATCAGCAAAGCATAGGGCATACCTCGTGCTCAACACTGACGTACACACGTCAATGATTGACCAAAGTGCCACGGTCACTTACCTATCACCCAGGCTACCACCAGCCACTAAGGCTATAATTCAGACTAAAGGCTACATGTCTGTTTTTTCTAGATACATTGTTAATAAAAAGGAGTTAAAATTAAGAATAAAGTACAATGGGTAAATAAAGGTGTTTATTGAAATTCTAATCGCATAAAATTTACCAA